GTTGTGTCAAACAGATCTGTATTGAGGAAGTATGGGTGGTCCGCCAGGAATACTCCTGCTCATGCTGTACTACCGTTTAGCCGAGGGAATCGAGTTTCGTTGCTAGCAGCGGTCGATGTCAACGAATTCTTTGGTTGGGGGATTACTGAAGGTACTTTTACGAGAGCGATATTTCATGAGGTCATACCCTGAGAGCACGATCCACGGGTAACAGGATCACCCAGCTAGGTTATTTACCGAACCCACGAAGGAGCACCATCAGTGAGGATACATGGGATGGAACGTCACGGGGCACGAAATATCATGAACCACAAAACATGTGGAACCCACGTAAAAGATGGAAAACACGTTATAATTAGCAGCCTTAAAATGCGGTCATACTACGGAAGAGAATGAAACCAAAGGTGAGCAACGAGTGAGTAGCGAAACATGAGCCACGACGTACTGAAACACACGAATGTGGAGCCTAGCGGAAACCACGCGGCACCATGAAGAATATAAAATTGGGACCACCTCACCTCCAACACACCATGCTACCACCGAGAAGCGGTGGAGAGCGACTAGACTTAGCCAACTATCGCAGTAACGTGTCTATCTGTCACCCTTAAATTGTCGTGTTTGTCACGCTTTTCCAGATAAATCAGTGGACAAAAAGCTGAGAATTTTACTGGCAGTCCCGATTGGATACAAACAGATGAGTGCGACGAAACGGTTCAAATAGGCACTTTCTGAAACCTTGTGGGTCCGAAGGTCCCACGCAGGCACAGCTTACCAAACTAGCATCCGAGTAGAAGAGCGAGTCTGTGGCGAGCGAAACGGAGGCAAAGCACATGAAAAGACCTTCATGCACCCAACCGCGAAGCATCGACGCTTGGTTAGTGTCAATCAATAGCACTGTCATACCCGCCAATATGCCGGTGTCAATATCGATCAGTAAGTTATGTTTTTTTAGAGCTAAAGTTATCTGCCATATTTTTAAACGAATTACAAATCGAACGGATGATTTGCGAGGCCGGCAGCAATGAAAACATCTTGCGGCTAAGAGTGAGTGACACTTTAACAAGGAGAAACGATCTGCATCATTTTCAGCGGTAGTGCTCGAAGCAGATGCTGCGTCCACGAAGCGGGCGTAGGAGATGCTGTTTACAAGCAATTAACAATGGAGAAAAGCTCGTTCATTAAGACGTGTCGTATATGTCACACAAATTAAAGGTTTAGTTTTCTATTTTAGGGCTGCTAGGTAAGGCCAAGCGCTTTGTACAGTATTTGTGTGGTACGATCAACTTACAGCTGTGCGTACGCTGGAAAATTTATGACTTTTACTTTCGGGGTTAAATATCTCGAGATTTATTTAGAGTCAATTGTCGTAACGAGGAGAATCGATCGGCAATATGTTAAGCGGTAGTGCATCTTAAATACGACCTTAGAAGCATCGTCACACACACGTTCTGTGCATTCCGCCTGAAATTACCGGACTGGGCCAATTCATGTGTGATGAACTTTTTTCAAACAATTCTTGAGTCCGCACGGAGTATTTTAAACCCTTCGTAACTGTTGATTTATCTATGCATTACATAGCGATGTATCTCGATCACCATCTTGATCATCCGTCTCCAAAGACCCCGAAAGAACGTCACAGCATGCTGTCGCTGATTATTGCGAACATAAGATCTTGTTGATTCTGAGACATGATTCCACCATGCCAAAATTTTCCTCATCGGTCCGCGTGGTGCGCGTCATCGATTTAGGACCTTTCCATGAGAATCTCCAGCAACTTCGTTCCAAGGCCGCTCATGCATTGAAAATAAATGTTTCTACATTTTTGATACAAATGCCTTTTAATTTACATCCGTTAAAAAATAAAAAAAGAGGGGTGGTCAACTATATTAAATTTTGGTGTGCATGCCACTCGATTTTTCGCGGGCGTTTTTAGGGAAGACTAGATTCGAGAAATAAACTGTTTTTTTTCTTTTGGGGAGATTTACTACACTGATTTTTTTTAATATTTTCTCCAGTATGGACCCTTCAGTATATCTATTGTAGAGAATGGAAGCTGTAAAGATCATAGTACTACAGAATTTGATACTGCCGGTTTACCAAACGGGTTACATGAAGTAATGTACTTCGAAGTAGTTGTCTAGATCAGCAAATTTTACCTCGAAGCCCAATGCCAAGCTCCGGTACGCCTCAAGACTACGCCACCGGCTGAATGCTTGTCCAGATGGCACTGACCAGATCAAGCTCGTCGCCGCTTCGTCCATCAAACCCGCCAAACTGAAAACCATTCATCGCTGTGTCCGTTCCAATCTTGTCCGTCTGTGTGCCTCCTTCGATAGATCTCCCGAAGTTAGAGGTGAACTTGATGTACTTGACGCGCGTACGGTGTTCATGTTTCCCGGCGTGTGCTTCCATGACAGTGATGTGTTCACCGTTCTGTAAGTCGAGAGGGGTTTTCAGCTCGCCACCCTCACCTCCATGGTATAAGGTATTCTTTTCCCCCGACGGACTCACAATGGTAAGTGTGACGGCAACGACGCGCTCAGCAGCGCGGATGTTGATGGACAGCATTCTTTATCCAGACTTAACCAAGAACGCGTCTGTGAAGTCGTCACCATGGGGTCCGCCGAATTCTGGACCCACGTAGCACCCAGGTGGCAAAGGGACACGTTCGTCACCCTCATTGCCTCCACCTCCTCCATGGCCTCCTGCTACTGGGCGATACACTCTTTTTTCCCCACCCCCACCCACTCCGCCTCCACCTCCACCTCCCCCGCGGCCACCTCCTCCGCGGCCACCGCCCCCGCCACCGCCACCGCCACCGCCACCGCCTCCTCCGCCCTCACCGCCTCGTCCGCCTCTCCTTTCTTCCAATTCGGTATCATCACGTCCTATGTTGTCTCTGAGCGCCGTGAAGTCGAGCGAATCCGATCTCAACGCGGTCTTGGCAGCGATTACGGCACCACGGTTGATAGCCACGAAGGTGACCACAATGGCCAGCACGAGATGCAGCACGCGCATGCCGTTGCAATCGGTTGATTGGACGAGCGCAGATTTTAAAATGAGGCAGCAAAATGACCGCCAGCTAACGCTTGAAGGGGTGATGCAGAAACAGGTAGCTCATCTGTATAACTATAATATCCATCTGCGAAAACAATACACTGTACGCAAGGCAGCAGGACCCGACACCTACTATAATTTGTAAGAGGAGGGCATCTACAAATCCCCGATTCACTTAGATCGTGCGCGTCAGTTTTAATGGCCTTCAACATTGGCAAGAAATACATCGGTCTGGATTTTACCACCTAAATCTCCTTACAAACTATTAACTACTACTGGTGCTGTCGATTCTTTTTTCATTAGAGTTTCATTCAACCAGTGAAGGCTAGGAGAACGATGACGACGTTTACGTGGCGCAGGTAGCTACAGTACATACTGTACTATGTAACACGCTTTTGTTTCACGACGGTTTGCAGAATTTGTATGGTACACCTAGCTCACACAAGCAAAGCTGGTCCTCTAAAAAGGACCGGATATTTTATAAGCACTGATTCCTGAAAATTTTGTACACTATCCGGATAAAGCTACAGTACATGTAATAGCCAACTTTGCTTTGCGTTTGCGGTATTCGAGACTCGTAATACATGTAGCACTGAGCTTGCGGTACTAAGACTCATAATACAGCCTTGTACATGTACTGTACTGAGTTTGAGGTACAGTACTGATAAAGTTTATCATAAACGTAAACGTTGCGCTGAGTTTGCGAGTGCAACTCATCTTAAAACTTTCCCATACCGGTACGAATTAACGCGGTTAAGCGAACGAAAACTCGACAGAATGGTCAAATGTCTTGAGCTCGCTTTCTGTCTTATGATATACGAGCTGCTACACTTGAGCTCGCTTTCTATCTTATGATGTACGAGCTGCTACACTTGAGCTCGCTTTCTGTCTTATGATGTACGAGCTGCTTGCCCTTCCTTATCGACCCCTTGTAAAGACTACGGCAGGTAGCCAATTTTGTGCAAGAGGCATTCGTACAACGAATCTTTGGACATCTTATATCCCGAAAAGAGTCTCAAGAAATATTTAAAGAAACGTTCGTTTTTTTGACGTGATGAGATTAAATAAATATGTAAATGCAGCGCTCCGCCTCGTTTAACAGCTGAAATAAAAATGAGGACGATTTGTACAAGGCTTTTGTCAGAAACTTAACTAGAGGGGGTTTAGTCTTTTTCGGTGGTAACATACGCAAAAATAACGTTTAGACGCAGGTGTGCTTGTTCCGCCTCTTGCGTTTAGCTGCAGGAGCCACTTTAGATCGGGTGACTTAGGAATATTAAATAAGTTTGCGAATGCCAACACGCATTGACGTGCATACCTCAGGGGCAGGGATCGAATAATAAAATTGAAACCAAATATTACGGCATTGGTCCACTAACATATCGTTTATTGATTATTGAATATCGGCTAGCAAATTTAGTTTTTTTTACAATACAAAGTTTAGGTCAAAAGCAAACAGCTTTACATTAATGTAGTATTTTTCACTCGATTGATTTGTATCCATGTCGCGCATATTGTAATGATCATTACGCCATACTTGAAACGTTTTGCGAACTAACTTTTATTTTTTATTTTTTGAGCCCTGCTCAGAGCCGTCCACTTTAAAAATATATTCCTTCACGTCGGCAGCGAAACCTGTTAAGCAATAGAGCTTCGCGCACACCTGCGACGTAACTTTCTGGCAAAACCGTCAATAGTACAAAGGGTATTGTATGGTTGGCCCTGTTTCACAACCAGTGTATAATTGCTCTATAACATGCTTTCACGAGAATAAAATGAAGCTGACGTACTTTGTCGATTTATGTACAGGTACAGCACGCGTATTTTTTTATATTTTACTCTGCTACTGGTAGTGTTTGTGAGAGCTGAAATAGTCGTCGGTCACAGCGTAATGCATTTGCTGTACCTCTAAATTCATGTTGCCATCGAAGCGATCGTACGGTCCATCGTACACTTTCTGTTCCCACTTCCAGTACTTACCGGTCAAGTCATTCACTAGATCAACCCCGCTATGCAAAGACACGTCTTTTCCATTAAAGGATCCGTAGCCGACGACGTTGGAGGCGTCACCAGAACCTCCATCCCGACAAACATCGATCGATATCCACGGAGCGAGCCATTTCCACTCGTACTCACATCAAAAGGAGGAGCGTACGGTGTTGTAGTCCCCGTTGGTGCTGATGGATTAGCGTCAAACGCTGGACAGCTCTTACGGTAGCTTAGCAGCCCCTGTGTCATGCTGTCCGGTAGCTCGTACGAGTACGAGTAGTGTCCAAGCTTAGTCACCTCTCCGTAGTGCCACATCTCGCTACCCACATGCAAAAAGTATTTTCCTAGGGTCGGCTTATCCGTGGTTTTACTACATACAACCTCTTTTGGTAGGGTTGTTGCGGTGGGACCGACACCGGACACACCGTCTCATGAGTCGGTGGCCTTGTAAACGCCGTGGAAGCAGAAAGCAGCTTCGCTTTCGTGACATCTATCCCGAAGTTGCAGAGGTGATGAATGTATAGATGTTGCGGCTGCACTTAACCCTCTACCCTGACTACCGCTACGCGCACAGCATGCGCGTGTCATGAGAGGCCTGAACTTAAAGTGACTCGAAAAGTTTTTTATGTGATTGGCGGATCTTTAGGTATCGTGGCCAGTGCTTGGACAGCTGAATGGCTTTACATGTGACCGATTCGCATAGGTAATCCCGATCGGTGTTCCCGTCCCAGCACATCGTTCCCGTTGCAATCTCACTTACAAACTTCGGGCATTATCCTGGTGTTCCTGTCCCAACAAAGCGTTTACGACGCAGCTTGTGTACTCAGTACGAGAATGATGGAGTGATAATACATGTAGGGGAAGCTAGCCGGTTAGAGCTTCGTACTCAAACAAATTCACTTTCAAATTTCTATTCATCGACTCACATCGACCGCAAGCGTCGTTCTAATCGTCCTCACTCTCAATTGCGGATTTAAGTCGATAGCTAGGAATAGAAAACGATGTCTCGCGGTAGAGTTTATGTAGTCATTGTGCCTCCGACGGCGTCGTGTACTACAGTGTGCACTCCGAACTGCATGCCTTCGAGACATCATTTTTTTTGTTAATGCAACTCGAAGCCTGCTTTGCAGTCGCAGAGATGCATCGAAGCCGAAAGGGCATAACGGGGTATACACGGTATACTGGCATTGCGTTGTGCCAGCCCGAGCACGACATCATTTTTTCTGCTTGAAAGAACACTTTATCGCCAATTGGATAAATTAAACAAAATTCGCTGTTTCTCCACTTTCAGAACTTCTTCGTGCAACGCGCGACTTTGTCCAGTCACCTGTCTTATTCGCTTTGCAAGACTTATCGTAGGCCACGCGGTATTTTGAACTTACCTTTTGACATACTAAACTAGAGATTTGCACTTTTGCGAATACAAGAGTCAAATTATTATAACCACCACAGCGGACGCCGCCCAAAACTGGCATCAGGGCCGATATGGTAAGGCGTTGGATTGTAGATAGACTTGACATATCCCGCCGCCCCCGAGAATCCGGTCTCAAGAAAGTTGTGGCGTTATACCGTATTTGCATCCTAACCTTAGGCAACTACACAAACTTAAATTTGCTCTTGTAAGGAAATGTATATTGTAGCTTTCACTCCTTCAAAGTTCTCCCTCGCACTATCTTTTACGTGCATGATAAATAATTGAAATTCTGTACCTGTGCAACGTTTTTATTTAGAGACAAATTATGAGATAGCATATGACACCCTCTTATGCCAGTTTTAGGCGGCATCCAATCGGTGATAAGCACAACACGCCTTGATCTCAGTACATACAAACATTTACTTATACACTGGAGCGCCTACGTGACCCCAAGAAATTCTGCGTAGCACAGGAGAGCTTTGTGTCAGCACAAACGATATTTTCTAGCTAATCTATGTTCTCTATTTTGGGACTATGATCCAATCATAAGTATCTATCATGCTGAATTAACTGGCTGAGCTGCTTCTAGCGCCTGTTTGATTCGAGCATGGCTCGCTTTAAAACGAAGCCCTCCACAGCCTACATCCCTCCAATAAAGACTCCCTTGTCAACCTCCAATCTCCTCAAATGCCAAGATTTCATTCGTGGAGCCTACTTTGCAGCAACGTTACCGCCGGAGGCGCAGCCCTGCTGCTGCAGGTAATAAAGACATGCAAGACAGAAAAGAGACTGCTGATGTCATGCGCATCCTACAGCAACAGCGCTCCGCATTAAATGCGTTCAGAGTTGCTGCGCTGTGCATGCAAGCACTGGATGAGTATGGCTCCCTACATGCCATGCCCTTGGTGCCTGAAGCAGTAATCCTGCCGGGCAGCTGGTAACATAAATATGCATAAGTTGAGCGACTACCTTTTCTGAGTGTGTACGATCAGCCTTCGTAGGGCTAAAACCTTAGTGCATTACTATCGTCAGACGCAACTTGGTGGCAACGACAGGTGGAAGCAGATCGTGAAAGCGGTGCAACGCGTCGCGTTTAGCGAAGGTGAGGGCAAACATGACGCCTTTACGTTACGGACGACTACGGCGGGTCCGGCGTCCCCAAAGTGTGGAGCGGCTAGGACATAACCCTACTCCTTGTGGGTATGTCCACGAAGGCTCTACTGCGTTGTGCTGTTCGTGGCCCAGGTGCGTTCGAGCTGCATCTGGACACCACATTTAAACTGAACAGCGCTGGGTATGCTGTACACGTGTGTGGCAGAATTGATACTTCCCGGATCTTCCACCTCGTGGATTTATTTATCACGTCGCAGCTGCAGGAAGCTCACTTAGTTGCCGGACATGTTTTCTGCGACGCCTCTGCGCACGCGTGAACGGCAGCAAAATGCAAGTGAAATACGCACTCGGCGATGCAACCAAGATACAGCACAACGCTTTCTTCGTGTCTGTTCGAACTGCTCGACCACCTATCTTATCCGTTTAGAGCTAAGTAAACAAGTGT